GCGATGCCGAAACAGCCCACGTTGAGAAGAGTGTTAAGAAGCCCAAACCTCAGTCTAAAGTACAGGAGATGTTGCCGTTTCAGAAGGAACATCGCCGCAGGAGTTCCGGACCGGTGGTTGTGATACCTAAACGACAGCAGACCAATAGCGTTACTTCGACTGTGAACAGTACTCCGGGGCTACCTAGGAGGAATGCGAGCGTGCCTAATGGCGCAACCAGCGAAACTTCACAGACTCCAACTATATCACAGCCATGATTTCTTTTCTCTGTACATTCAATCAAGATAATAAAAATAATGATCCCCAAGTTTATCATTTCCGAATCCACCTACAACAGGGTAAGGCCTTCCACATCCGGCCTAGTGCGGCTCTATTTGCGCCCGCTGCCGATCTCGCCAAAAAATGCGGGACAACTTTTTTGGGGGAACAATAACCAACGACCAACTCCACGATTTCATAGTCAGCAGAACCAGAGATGAAGTTTACCGAACTGACGGAAATCGAGCTGCCAGCGGCATATGATGCTCATGTCCATCTTCGGGATGGCGAGATGTCGCAGCTTGTTACGCCTACGATTCGTAAGGGTGGTGTGAATCAGGTGTATGTTATGGTGAGTTTGGTTGGCTTCGTTTCTCATCCAAGATTTCGGTCATTTCATTTTCGCTACCATCGTCAATCTTGCTCCTCTTCGTCCTCCCTTTCTGTTCATGTGTTGTTGCCGATTTGCTCGTCTCGCAACATCTTGGTCACGTTTCTCTAACCCATCATATCACTATTACAGCCGAACCTGGTCCCGCCTATCACTTCTGTGAAGCAATGTCTCGAGTACCGCGATAGACTTCGTGCTATTGAGCCGGATGTGGATTACGTCATGTCGTTGTATCTTCACGAGGATATCACGCCGGAGGTTATTCGTGAGGCGAAGAAAGCGGGAATTACGGGTGTGAAGTCGTATCCTGCTGGAGTTACTACGGTATGTACGGATCCAGACACTCACTCCCAAAGATATGGCCACAAAAAGAGGATAAGAGAGGAAGACATTGACGAACTCATGTGACAGGCGGACTAACCACCCCACAGAACTCCTCCTCAGGCGTCCTCTCCTACGAACCCTTCTACCCCGTCTTCGGCGAAATGGAGAAACAAAACATGGTCCTAAACCTCCACGGCGAAGTCCCGTCCACGCCCCCAAACACCCACGTAACAACAACCAAAGACACAAAAACAGGCGCCATAACCATCCTCAACGCCGAACCCGCCTTCCTCCCCACCTTCCTGCTCCTACACGCCAAATTCCCCGCCCTCCGCATCATCCTCGAGCACTGCAGCACCGCCGCCGCCCTCTCCGCCGTCCGCTCCTGCGGCCCCTCCGTCAGCGGCACAATCACCGCGCACCACCTCAGCCTCATCATCGATGATTGGGCAGGCGACCCGTTTTGTTTCTGCAAGCCTGTTGCGAAGACGCCTGAGGATAGGGATGCGTTGCTCCGCGCGGTGGTGCAGGGAAATGGGAAGTTTTTTCTGGGGACGGACTCGGCGCCGCATCCGAGGGGGAAGAAGAGGGGGGAGGATAAGGTTGCTGCGGGGGTTTTTACGCAGCCGTATGCGGTGGGGTATGTGCTTGATGCGTTGGAGGTGGGGGTTCAGAGGGGGGTTATTGGGGAGGAGGAGGTGACGAAGGAGGTGCTGGAGGGGTTCTTTGGTGGGTGGGGGAGGGGGTTTTATCAGATTGAGGATGAGAAGAAGGAGAGGATCGTGTTGAGGAAGGGTAAGGAGACGGTGGTGGATGTGTTGAGGAAGGAGGGTGGGGGCGAGTGTGAGGTCGTGCCGTTTAGGAAGGGGGAGGTTACTTGGGGGGTGGAGTGGAAGTAAGCGGGTTCAATTCGATCATGAGGGTGGGACAGACGGAACCGACGTAGTCTTAGATGAGGAAATGCCTTTAGGGTAGTTCCAATCAAGACCATGCACAGACATAATATTACCAGTGACAAACTCCACATCTTCAGACATTCCCAATCGGACATCACAATCCTACCCAGTATGTTGGGTTCCGTTGTCAGGTGTAGCGGAAAAGGGCGGTGAAAAGTGAAAGGGCAGTATAAATCTGCGATTCCAGAAGCTTGTGCAGACCGAGACCTCGTTCTTCCGTATGCTGTAGTATACAACACCAGAGAGTCATGCATACGAAATCAAGTTCTGTAGCCGGTATCTCCAACGTTTTGATGCCATAATATACCTACATCAATGTTATGCTACTAGTATCCATCGTGCCTTAATGCCATAATACGCCTACATCACGCACTGCCCTTCCTACGTACAGATGCCATCTCCCACGTATCCGTCAACCTCATTTCTTGCATGACCCATACAAAATCCAACCCCAATGTCACCGTCACGCTCACTTCCGCGCTCACATACCGCTCCTCTCTCCTCGCTCTCTGCCAAACTCACGGTGAACGTGAGCAGTGAGCCGCACTTTTCACCGCCAAGACAGCAACGAGCGTTTGCACCTACGACGACCATAACAAAAGTTTTTCATGCCGCCGATTTCTAAGCTTCTTCAGCAACACACACCGACTACACTCGTAAGTATCCTCTTTTTTTGTTACGGCATCGATGGCTTTGCGTTCTACATGGGGTTCGGTAGCTTCATATGTCACTGTAGCTCACTTTGTACCGCCTACACTACCCCCAGTATCTCCCTTCCCACTCCCCAGCAATGCCTCTACCGCCTAAATCCCCCCCAGCCCCTCCCCTCCCACCCTCAAGCTAACCACATAGTCACCATGACGACCCACACCACCACCACACTCCTCGCCTTCACGGCAACGTCGCCGGCATGGCCCGCCACGCCCTCCCTCACCACCATCAACCTCGGGCGCGACATCGCCATGGAAGTCCTCGCCATAGAGGCACATCAGAACCGCCTTCGGGTACTACAAGGAGAAGAGGCTACGGCCGACGAGGAGACGATTTCCGGTGAGTTGTTGCTTTGCGTGCAGCGATTTGAAGCGTTTTTGGCGAGATGGGATGGCGAGGTTTTGGGGTTGGGGGCGGGTTTGGAAGAGGGGGGGATGGAGGAGATGGAGGAGGGTGAGATAGAGGAGGGAGAGGTGAAGGAGGACGAGATGGAGGTCGACAAAGATTCGCCTTCACCACCACCACACGGGCCCGAGCGCCCCCAGCGCCTCGACCCCACCGCCATCAACGCCATCAGCGTAGGCGACATCGGATGGGCGCCACTCCCCCGCATGGCAGCCACCTCGCGCGACTGGTTCGTCCCGTCGCAGTACGGCCAGATCTGCATCAAGGTCTATCCATTCATCATCGTCAAGAAGATGGACGACTGCATGATCGGCATGCCCATCACAACCGCCGGAGGCAACGGCCTCACCAACAAGATGGAGTCGCTTCGTGCGCGCAGCACGTATGTCGTTGGAGCCAATTTCCGCGGGAAGAACGATGTCTCTTACGGATGGGGCATGGGGCCCAAGGAGATGAATCTGGAGGTGGATCGGACGGCGGGGGCGTATGAGCCCAGGGCTGGTGCGTTTGTCGATGTCCTGGATACGTACCAGATCCCGTACAACGCGAGGTGGAAGAAAGAGGGGCGCCTGACGCATACTAGTCGGGTGGACTTGCTTCGGATGAGGCACGCGGTGCTGGAGAAGGATGCGCTTGGGTGGAGGGGTTGAGAGTGGTGAGGTTGGGGGGGGGAAGCAGGGTTTGGGGACTACAGCATGTGTTGAGGCGTTTTGTATATTAGTATGAGGCAGCGTGATGGACTTCACCTCGTCCACGCCTGCCGAATGAAGACATCATCCCACCATGTATTCACCAACTGTCTTTTTGCCGTGCCCATACACACACCTGTGACTCGTTGTAGGTCCCAGCCCTATTCCCCACACTTCCTCCATATCCTTGCCGCTTCTTGTAGTTCCCCAAAGCTCTTGCAATCCGCTATAATCCGTTCCTGAGATTCGAGCCAACTGGTTTTGTTTACCATCTTTATAATCTCTAGGTACCGTTCACGTCCTTCCAAGCCAACGAGACGGGGAAGAGGACAAGCAGAATGCTGCAAAAGAACGTCTACTTGTTCGCGGATCTCGTCACTCAGCACAAGGACATCGACCAGCATTTGCCCCTCTGTTGACGCATTGTAACACCGTGAGTCTATGTTGTTTGACCCAGCGTGATGGTCCGAGTTCCTGCATACTCTGACGTGCCATATGAAGTTGTGGTATATACGCTGGACTTTTGTGAGCACAATGTGATGAAAGCAGGGTCACACGTCACTTACATTGAATTCCACCCGATATCCTTCATCATAGCGCAGCCAACCCTCGCCGACGGCTTCGGTGCCCATGCTCCTACCGGTGTATGCAGATTTCCATTCGTTAAGCCTGTAAATAGGGTAAAAGTCTGGACGAAAAACTATCCCACTCTTTTCAGGCACATTCTCTGACGGTTCAGTAGTGCCGAACCACCACGCCGCATCGACCTTCCGTAAATTTCGTATCCGGTCGTGTGGTTTGTAACTCAGCTTCCCGGGTTCTTGAGTGGAATAGCTTTCGGTACAGATACCTGTTACGCCTGCAACGTTGAGATTCCTCTTCGCCCTATCAACCGGATCACTGATATGGACGATTATAGGCCTTGTAGTAGCTGTGTCTTCTTCTGTAATTGACGGGTCGGTAATGAAGTCCGGGTCGCCAATGGTTGCAGTTGTAGAATGATTAGTGAGCATGCTTGCATTATCGACAAGGGTTGAGAGATTGCTCAAGAGACTCCTAGGGGAATCTTCGGTTTTGAATGTAGACTCCGCCACTGTGAGGGCATAAGCCTTTCGCGTGTGTTGGGTGTGTTCGTTCACTGTTGTCATCGTCTTGCTTTGTTCTTTTTCCTGGAGGAGTTTCTTTCTCTCGGTCGAAGAATCCCTGCTAAATTCAGTCGGCCATTCATGGCTGTAGCTGTAAGCCATAAGGAGACTTTGTCTTCACTCACCTGTTCAGCGGGCCGATCAACGTGTTGATCGCAGAATACTGTTGATGCAGTTGTTCCAACAAGTCCTTGACTTCAGCCTCATTCCACAGAGTCCTAAATTTGGCTTTCGAGCTCATGCTGCGATCACCATGGACGCCCTTCATAATCTTCGACACGTACTCCCCGAGGCATGACCCCAGCACGAGCCAGCTCATCAGAGTCGCTTCGAGCGCATCGACAACGGGTGGCTCCGCATGCACAGGATTCGCATCGTCAAGAAGTAGCGCCTGCAACCGTGAAAGCAGGGCCTCGTTGAGTTTGAGCTGGGAACAGAGGGATAGTACGGTAGTGGGCGCATGATTCCATTTGTTCCGTATGTCGTTGAGGTCTTTGGCAGCTCTAAGGTAAATTGTGGTAATCTGAAACTAAAACTATGGTTAGCTTAGCACTACGGCTGTGACTGAGGCCCCGGCGTCGCTGAACTTACCACAGCCGTTGTGATGCTCAAGAGATCCATCTTGGTCGTTGCGAAACATGCTGGTTGAACGGGCGCGTCTAAACAAGACTGTTGTTACAGCCTAGCGATGAGGTATAAGAAGAGCGTTCCAATTGCCACCAAAATGAGAAAGAGGCTTTCAGCTGCAGCCTGCTGTTTGACATGTCATCCCATTATCTGCAAACTTCTGTCATCATCATCATGTTTACACTCGTGTGCGTGCGTACGTCGGGATCCTGTCGTAGACTAAGAAGACTATAGATCCGAGAAGAAGAAATAGGTATAATAAAGCAGGCAAATCTGGTAACTTCCCTCTCCTAGTGTCCATCGAAAGCGTAATAGTGAAATGTATGGACTCTAATCGAGCCCGCTGTGTGTGCGGGGTCGAAGCTCTCGAAGAATGGTAAAACGCCCGTCGTAGACGTCAAGCTAGAATGTTGTACCCCCTTTGGAACCTGAGGTTCTTTGGTCTGCGATAATTCTCTCGTTCGTAAGTATGCTCTTACGTTTGAGTCGTATGAAATGCGGAAGGTGTAGCTGGCTCGTGGTCTCTGGGTTGCCTCTGGGGGTCATCGTAGTTGGAACCTAGAAATCCATATAGTCCTGTAGATATTTCGTACTTACATCACACGACGCGGAAAGCCGTGGCTTTTGAACATTTTGTGAATTTCTGAAGTACTTGCTATGCATATACTGCCATACTCTACAGCATATTTGCCGTCGAGCACCCTCCGATAGAATGCATGACTGCTACCATCATTACATAATCCTTCCGTGATTCATACCTCACATCACCAACGAGACCAAACCCTCCAGCCAGCGACATGGCCTCTGCGGATAAGGCTTACATCAAGTTGTCCGTCGCCAAAGCCCTGGGCTGGCCGAGTTCTAACCTCCCTTCCTAGGGGCGTTGGGCACAGCGACCGGAGCGCGAGCCGCCCCACCCGCAGAAGCGCCCTTCTTACGCTGGTAGAAGGCTTCGACGACCTTGCGAACGTGAGCCTTAGCCTGGTGCTTGTCGGCGGGTGCTTTGATGCTGTCGAGCGTGTACGGGGCTTGGATGAGGACGGAGTCGTTGACGACGATCTGCGTATCTGCCCACCGAGTTGGTAGACTGTGGTTCGTATGTTAGCCCTGATATCCTGTCTCTGCCAGATCTGATATGACTCACGTCCTCGATATAGCATCGAACAACTCCTGTGCTTCGGCACTAACACCCTTGCCCTTCTGCATATCCTTCTTCTTCATCTCGCGGATGGTTTGGTCTTCGCGGGCTTGTAGCGCGGCCAGATCCACCTTGGAGATGCTGGGGAGTGCGCCATCGAAACCTGCTGCGGACTCTGCTACGCGCTCTCCTGTGCCGATGATCTCGAAGGACTCAATGTGTGCGAATGGGATGATGTGGTAGTCGCCGGGCTGGCTGAAGAAAGAGGTCGTGGAGGGGTTCGGTGGAGGGGGCGCGGTGTTGATGGCTATGGCGTGGGTGAGGTTGCAGGCCGTGAAGAGGGTACCCTCGAGGACGTTCTTGCCAGGGGCACATGTGACTTTGATGCTGGGAACTGTCAGCTACCATCTCAGCCGTGATACCACTTCGACGAGCGGAACGTACCGTGACCCAACAGCCTTGTACAGATCGGAGTCCGCGCCAATGACATCTTTGTTCGATCCAGGGCCGGCTTTTAGGTTCGGAGTCGCAACCTTGCCCGCAACGCTATTGCGCTTGTTGTCCGCCATGACGGTCCCGCTCTTGTGTGCCTCTGTCTAGGCGACTTGTGTATTACGGGCGGCGGAGGCTAACGTGTTGCTCCGCTACAATTGGGTCTCGTCAGCACCTAGTCCCTGCCCAGATTCTACGACGGAGGACCTAACGCCAGAGACTCATACAAGCAGTGAATATACAATCCAAAGGAATGAAAGAAATGAAAACGCGACGACGCACGCGCAACCGGGTCGTGGGGCAGCGCTGGCGTGGCGGAGCTGGCGGAGCTCGAGGCGGGTGGGTTGGTGTTGTCGTGATGCGCTGCAACTTTCCGTGGTCGCGATGCCAAGCCTTTACGCAGGGCGCTTGCCGCGGGGCCAATTATAGAAGGTATATGCTGTAGGCCTTGGAGACGCTTCCGTCCCGAGTGTATCCTGACTGCTGGGAAGCCGATGCGCGTGCGACCTCGTAACAATGTTCAATTCATAGTGGGGTGTCTCGTCAAGGGTCTACCTGGAGGTACGCGACGATCAACGCTAACTGCAGCTAGCGTACGAGTAACAACACAGCGGTCAAGCTGAGCTTCAAACATTCACCAGCACATGCAAACATTGGACATGCGAATCGTTATATTCATTCTAGATTCGAGGTATCTCAGTTTTCACGTTCTTCATAAAACATGAACTCGGGGCAGCCCTCTGCTCCCGTCTAACAAGCAATGGATATCCCCCTTTTAAGCGTTGTAGGTCTGGCAGGTTGTTAGTGTCTTCCAAATGATCAACGTGCGTGAAACTTACAGAAGCAGAGATGTTACCACCCCTTCCGGTCCAGTTGACGTGGATGTCCTGGCCCTCCTTGTAGGTCTCGTTGGCGTACTCGGGCTTGATCCTGAAGGTGTGGGCACCGAAGTAGTCACGCTGCGCCTGCAACAGGTTGGCGGGCAGGTCCTTGGCGCGGTATCCGTCGTAGAAGCTGAGGGCGGTGCTGAAAGCAGGGGTGGGGATACCCCAGAGAGCACCCTTGGAAACGACGTCTCTCCATCCGGACTGGGCCTTGTGGATAGCCTTGCTGAAGAAGTCGTCGAACAGCAAGTTCTCGAGCTCGGGGTTCTGGCGGTAAGCCTTGGTGATCTCCTTCAAGAAGACGGAGCGGATAATGCATCCACCGCGCCACATGAGGGCAATCTCGGGCTTGTTCAGCTTCCACTTGTACTCCTTGGCGGCGTTCTGGATCAGCATGAATCCCTGCGCGTACGAGATGATCTTGGATGCGTAAAGGGCCTGCTCGAGGTTGTCGATGAAGGCCTGGCGGTCGCCAGAGAAGCTGGGGGTGGGGCCGTCCAAAAGACCGGCGGCACGGCCACGCTCCTGCTTGAGCGAACTCAGGCAACGGGCGAAGACAGCCTCTCCGATCAGGGTAACGGGCATACCGAGGTCGAGCGCGTTGATGGCGGTCCACTTTCCGGTACCCTTCTGACCAGCAGAGTCCATGATCTTTTCGACGATGGCAACACCATCGTCGTCGTTCTTGTACATGATGTCACGGGTAATCTCGATCAGGAATGAGTCGAGAACGCCCTTGTTCCATTGTGTGAAAACGTCGCCAATCTCCTTGTTGCTCATGCCGAGACCGCGCTTCATGATGTCGTAGGCCTGTTTCTGTCAGTCGCCTCTTTCTTTCTGTATGATCGTCTCGTCTCACCTCGCAGATCAACTGCATGTCACCGTACTCAATACCGTTGTGGACCATCTTGACGTAGTGACCGGCACCCTCGTCACCAACCCATTGGCAGCAGGCCTCGCCGTCGGACTTTGCGGAGATGGACTGGAGGACATCCTGAATATTGTTAGTTTTTGCCTGTTCATCTCTTCACGCATTCCTACCTTGATGTATGGCCAGGCCTCCTCGTTACCACCGGGCATGATGGAAGGACCGTAGCGGGCACCCTCCTCTCCTCCAGAGACACCAGTTCCGACGAATCGGATACCCTTGGACTTGAGGTAGTTTGTGCGGCGGTTGGTGTCGGGGTAGTGGGAGTTACCACCGTCGATGATGATGTCGCCCTCCTCGGCACCTCCCTCGAGGAGGAGCTCGATGAAGTCGTCAACGGGCTTACCAGCCATGACGAGCATCATCATGCGGCGGGGCTTCTTGAGCTTGGAGACGAACTCCTTGATGGAGTGGGCGCCGACAATGGACTTGCCCTTGGCCTCATCGTTCAAGAAACGGTCGACCTTGGCAACGCTATCTGCCTGTCAGTGTGTGTTGGCGGCGCGGTGTATCGAGACGCTTACGTTCGGTTGAAAGCAACAACGGTGAAGCCGTGGTCAGCACTGTTTGGTGTTAGTACTGGTTTGGCAGGTTATGACGTTTGTTGTGACTTACGCGTTGAGGATCAAGTTCTGGCCCATGACCTATATGTATGGTCAGCATGGCTGGCCTTGATGCGTTGGGGGTGAATGTCTCCGGATAATTCGCGCTTTGGACTCAATGGCTGGCAGGAAGGCACGACGACGCGCACTTTCTGCTGCACTCGCCGTGGACGCGATCGGAACATGGAGTACTTACGGCCAGGCCGATGAGGCCGAAATCTCCGACGGGCTCAGAAGACATGATTGCTGTTCTCGTGTAGGAGTAGGTGGGTGGATGAGAAAGTGTTGGCGGGGTAGAATTGCAGCGACCGGGCGTGCAATACGAGGGCAATTGAGGCTTATAAAGCGGGAGATGGTCAAGAGAAGGAAGAAGAAGTCTGGTGGGGGTCGTCAAGATATGTACGCGGAAAGTCTTTGGAACAAGCGGGGCACACTACTATTGCATCAATGGCACGTCCCACCACCATATCCCAGCATCACGCTGTTGACGGAGAATAGCTTCGGCCGCGGCGGTAAGGTATGTCATACAAGCCACTGTTGCCAATTCCGTCTTGTAAAACGTTTGCACCGCTGCCGACATGATTGCTGAACATCACAGCGCATGATTAGAAAGCCGCCGTCTAATGAGCGGGCTAGACACGGGTGGGTTGCGCATGTGGTTGCAGATGCTATGGCTATCACGACTCAGTGTACATTCACTATTGACATCAATTTCATCCTAGCAGACTAGCGACGCAAGCAACAGTCCCAACGGCGTCGCGGTCAAATGCGGCTGCTTGTGAAGCCCCTCCGTCTCAGCCTTAACACAGCATTACGCAGTACGGATGGAGGGGCAGCGTGCAGGGATCACCGGATACGCTAGGACAGGTCGCCGGAGAAGTCTTGCAATGTTTCCAAGGCTACCTGGATGGACTGTAAAAGCTGACGCGATGTGAGAAAACTCATCACCG